TTTTCTACTCCCAAATGGAAGAAAATGGTGGAACTGGAAGATAAGTTCTACAGGTATACACTTCTTTTTCGATGATGGAACAGTTGGGAGGGAACGATGGGCAAGCTTTGACTACATTTCTGTTCTGCTCGTCTGCGCACTCTGTAGCTAGCACGGAAGGGAAAAGTAACAGCGAGAGATCATCTCGTCAAGAAGAGGGCGTGGCCTAGCCTCCTGCCGACTGGCATCCTCCCGATATCCTTAGCACCTCATTCTATGAAAAGCCCTGTTCTGTATGACGTCAGTTTTCAGGGAAGCCAATTTGTTAATCGATCAAGCGATCGATAAACTACGTGGATCAACACAATCAGAAGACGAAATGAAATTCGCCAGCCTGTTGATTAATCGTAAAGAACTCAATGTCAAAGATGTGAAGGTCATTCTGTTGTCGATGTTCTCTGATGGATTGAGTACGGTAAGTTGGATAGCTTTGAGGCTAGTGGTTAACGCACCATGCACTTCACTTTTTTCTAAGGCAAGTGGTACGATAAATCCCCAAAACGTATAGAATTAATATGCCTAGCAGGCATACCGAAGCAGACGCTGCGTGGCGCCTTTCCCCAAGGAAAGTACTCTTGTAGCGCCCTATCAAGCTGCAACATACCGACCCGGACGCCCACCGCGCCCGCCCGCCCACAAATGTCCGACCGATGCTGATGCTCGTATCGCTTCATTTGCGAAGTACAATATGAAGCGAAGGGATTGATATGAAGCGGCTGCGGTGCTGCATGGATATATGAGTACATACATGCAGCCGTATCTACCGTAGCGGTTATTGGCACGATGCCAACGGGGAACTCGTTCGGAATCGCTTTCTGTCATGTAGATCAAATGCTTTTTCGCACATTTTTCAGCCATTCCACTTCGCCTGTTCGCCATTTTGCCACTATACAGTACCCCCGCTACCATTTTAGATCGAGTACTAAATTATTGTGCCTTATGCCTTTAAAGTTCTGCAAACCCCGATCAGCAAGTTCTTCACTGCAGATCGTGGAGCGCATGCATTGGTAATGTTGAGCGATTCTAAATTTGAAGATTCGAGACATTTGCATCTTATCAAACGGTTCATATCGGAGAGTTAAAAGGGGCGTT